GTCTCTGGTGCTAAGCGAGTAAATTTGTGAATGCCRATCCTGGTTAGCCTTCATCTGAAGTCAGAAATGGCTCAAGGGCTGTCACTTTTGGGAATTGGGCTCAAGTCCTTTACTAATATTATCTTAGAAAAACATGGTAGGCTGTGCTTCTCCATGCATGATAAATGACACTGTCATACCATGATAATTTAGTACAAGTAAGATCTGATTGATAAACTGTATTTTTCCAGAATTTTTTTTTTCATTCTCGCTATTGCTTTTTGAGTCAGTTTTTCTTCTCTGACCTCCAGATCACCTCCCCCACTGATCCCATCTCTAATGAGACTGAGGTTAGGAACTGACACCTACCCTACTCAAGGGGATCTGTTCCTACTATGGGAAATGCCAATGAAGACAGAGGAATTATCAAGATCCATGTYCCCTTTTCAGTAATGGAAATGGCTCAGTGAAAGGAAAGTTTTGGTAGCTGCTCAGAGAACCCTGGCAGATTCAAGGATGGATTCCTTAACTTTTGTCTTGACGTGCAGGGATATTATTGCAGTAKTAACCCACGGTCACACCCTGATAAAAGGAACGAATTCTTCAGAAGACTGCTGGTGTAGCTGACCACCAAGCATCCTGGACAGAAGGTTCAGTGACCTGGGGAAGACGCAGTTCCCTATAGAGGTTCCATCTGGGACCCTGCAAACTCCAACAGTTAAAGCCAGAATGGAGCATCTTGTAABCCGTGTTTCTGATGGAATGAAGAGAGGTTTAGTCGAACAAGATCATTATAAAAGTAAGAAGGTCGTCCGAGAAAATCAAGAAAATCCTGCAGTTCTTCAACTGCTTATCAGAGACTTTCTGAAAACAACCAACTGATCCAGAACTGGGGGAGAGAAGGGCCTTAGTGGTTCTGTGTTTCATGACAGAGGTTGCCACAGCTATATGGGGACGTAACAAAAGGTTGAAGAAGGACCCCACATCCTGCCGCTGTCCTTGATAGATGAGGCCTTAGCCGTCTATAGAAACAGACTGGGCAGCTTTTTGGCTGTCCCAATTTGACCGTCCTAGGTAACCCACAGCTCCCTGAAGATCTACAACAGCCAACTTTCAATGGGAGCCCTGGTGCCTGGGTGAACACCAGGGTGACTACCTGAGAAAGGAGGGTGCTAGGAGGGAGGTTGCCCAAATCGCCCCAAGGAGGGCTGGCGGGACAGCATCCCACTTCAGCCCAAATCTGGGCCTGATCCCACCATGGGTAAGATCAGCCCTAGACGGAAAAGAGGTCCCAGGATACTTCAGGCTCCAGTGCACTCAAGAAATATCACCTTTAGGTCAGTGGAGCTTTGGGTGACCCTTGATGTGGCAGGGACACTTGGGTCACCTATTCTGTCCTGATTCAAACTGTTGGCCTCTTCCCACTGTTGACTGTGTTACTTTTCCCCGCGGCTGTGAACCTTCTTCTATGTTAAACTGGATGCCTTTGTTTTCCTAAAAGGAGAACAGATACAAGTTTCTGTAGACCTGAAAAAGGGATTCATTCACCAGCTCTCCTTGACAATTCTAATTCTAAGCCCCAACACATTCCTGATAGCCCACTAGAATACAGTTTAAGCATGGAATAGGTTATTAAGGAGATTTCTATAGATTCAATGCGACCCACACCAAAAACACCAATGACATTCTTCGCAAAAGTAGAAGAAACAGTCCGAAAATTCAGATGAAAGAATGAAAGACCCAGAATAGCCAAAGCAATATTGAGCAATCAATGTGAAAGTAGAGACRTCATAATATCYCATCTCAAATTAGACCACAGCCAGCTATCGTCACAAAACGGCATGGCATTAGCATAAAAACAGACATGAAGGCCAATGGGATAGAGTAGCAGACTCAAGTAAATATAGACACAGGCATCGGACAGTCTTTGAAACAAATGGTGCTGGGAAAACTGGTTATCCATATGTAGAAAAATAAAACTGGACCCTTATCTCTCATCCTCCACAAAAATCAATTCAAAGTGGATCAAAGACTTTGAATTAGTTTAGAAACACTGCAACTGCTAGAAGAAAGCATAGAGTCAACACTCCAATATACGGGTACAGGGCAATGAGTTCCTTCATAAAACTCCTAAAACTCAAGAAATAAAATCAATAATCAATAAGTAGGATGGCATCAAATTAAAAAGTTTCTGTACAGCAAAAGAAACAGCATGTGAAGAAAGAGCTTACAGAATAGGAGAAAATCTTTTTCAGCTACTATTCCAACAAGGGATTAATATYCAGAATGTATAAAAACCAAAAAAATCTTAACACCAAAACCCCCAAATTTCCACAAACAACCCAATCAATTAATGGGCAAATGAGCTAAATAGTCATTTCTCAAAAGAACAAATAAAAGTGACCAATAAATAAATGGAAATATTCAACCTCTTTTCCAATCAGGGAAATGTAAATCAAAACACACTGAGATTTTATCTAACTTCAATTAGAATGGCAATCATCAAGAAAACAAATATAATTTTTGGAGTGGATGTGGGGGAAAAAAGGTACATTTATACATTGTTGGTGGAACTGAAAATTAGTACAAACATTTTGGAAGGCAGTTTGAAGTTTCCTCAAAAGACTAGGAATGGAACCACCATGTGATCCAGTTATTCAAAACAACTAGAATCAGTCTATTATACTGATATAGGTACCAATTCACAATAGCTAAGTTATGGCCCTGATGCCTGTCAACAGACAAATGGATGAAGAAAATGTGGTATATATACACAATGGAGTTTTACTTACKCATAAAAAAGAATAAAATTTGTCACTTTTTGGTAAATGGATAAAACTAGAGAATATTATGCACCTTTTGACTTCCAGTAGTTCATTTGCTTACTCATTGACTCAGAAAGTCAAGGGTCCAATGTTTTCTCTCAGATGTGGAAGTTAGAGAGAAAGAGTGGGTAGGAGAAAAGAGGAAAAAAGGGGGGAATCTCAGGAAAATAGAAGGGAGACCACAAGAGAGTAGAGGAGGAGAGAAGAGCATGGGTAAGTGCTGGGAATGAAATCTACCAAATTCAGCTATGTCCATGTACAGATGAATCCTGCTTATAAGTCATATCATCTTGTACTAAATAAAATAACAACAATAAAAGTAAAAACAGAAGGGAGATCGGTAGATTAAGTAAATCAGGGAAAGGGAGATAGGGAGGTAAAGGGAAGGTACTGGAGAGTGAGATTGATCAAATTATATATTTTGCACATGTATTCATACATGCTGAAAAATGTGCATGTACAAATAAGGCATAATGAATTCCACTATTATGTATAATTATAATGTACCAATAAAAATAAAAAGAGAGAGCCAGAGATTTCTTTGGTAGAAACTCATTAGATTATGTCAATCTTTCTTTCTTTCTTTTTTTTTTTTTAATATTTTTAGTTGTAGATGGACACAATATCTTTATTTTTTTATGTGGTGCTGGGAATCGAACCCAATACCTCACACATGCTAGGCAAGCTCTCTACCACTGAGCCACAACCCCCACCCCAGATTATGTCAATCTTCTTGTCCAGTAAAGAAACCTAATGGGGAATACTGCCCAGGTCCTGGGGGCCCAAATATAGCTACGCTCCCACTCCAATCAGAGTCACAGTAGATTTTTACCTTCAAATGGTGTCATCCTGACTAAACAGGACACTACTGTGTGTCCTCAGGGATTTAGGGACAGCCTCCATCTTCTTGGCCATGCTTTGGCTAAGAAATGGGATTCTGTTATAATCTGCGCCACTTACACCAAGTGGCCCCCAGTCATGTTAAACTGATGGTCACACAGGGTTTGCAGCCTGAATCCTCAGGAGAGGATTTGGAGCTCTGTGCTGGGTGCTGCTTCTCTTGGGCTGGAGTGTGAGCCCCGGTAGAGTCTCTCTGGGATGGAACTAGTTGCCTTTTCCTGATTTCCATCTCACACGGAGCCAAAGAACCCAGGCCTGAGGTCATTTCTGGTGAGTCAGGGTCACACAATTCCTCGAAAGCAGGTAATATCAAAACCCATTAAGTTCTGTTTTGAATTCTMTGAATATTTCAACAAAATTGGTAAGGTAGATTAAATAGGTTGGAAATCATAATAYAGAGCTCATATGTATTATAATCATTATAACGATTACTGGAATGTCATTTTATTATTTATTATAGAATTATATTATGTATTATGAAAAGTATGTGTARGTTGCTGTAGGTATCAATGGGTTTTTCAGCCTGCACATCTGGGACAATGGGACAAAATGAGTTTTTAAAAGCTGGGTTGCTTGGTAACAGTACAATTTATTTATTTGAATATTTTTCATCCACGGATGGGTTGGATCTGCAGATGCAGTACCACCAGATCCGGAGGGCCRGCTGTGCAGGGAAAGCTCTCTGACAAGTGAATAGGAGCACCTTCTGACTTCCGGTAGTTAGTTTGCTTAGCCATTGACCCAACAAATGCAGTTGAGGCTAGACGGTGCTCACGGTCAGGCTTTAGGTACCCTTAGTGATGACGAAGCKCAGTGAGCACAGAGCCCCCGAGGACAACAGGGTAAGGGGTGGAGGGGGATGCGATTTTGCACAGGAAGGCRAGGGAAGGCCTCAGGGCCATGGTGGTGAAGACCTCGGGGAGGGGCSGGCAGTGGCCTCTGCTGAGGAGAGGGTGCCTGGGGAAGGAGCAGGGGTCTGTGAGGTACATTTCTGGGCAGAAAGAAACAGGATATGAGACCCCTGTTTTAAGGGGTCATTAGGCCTTCCAGGGTTTGCCTGAAGGAATGTTCAGTGAACAGAGCCATAGAGAAGCAAATCTAAAAGTTTTGAGTTTTCTTATTAAAAAATCTAGGAAGAAAATTCCCATCATCAGGGGAAGCGTTGAGATGATTCCCTGGGACCATCTTCAGGGGATTCTCTCTGCCGGGGCTCCTGACTGTTGGTGACCCCTGGGTCTCCTCCTTTAGGCTGCAGCAGGCTGGACCTCAGATCTCCACTTCCTGTGTCCTCTGGAAATTACCAGGCACAATGTTCATCTTGTACGTGTGGATAATGGGTCTTTCAGCCTTCACTGTTCAGCCCGAAGAGCACACAGGTAAGGAGCACATCTTGTAGGGAGAGGGCWGGCCTGAGCTTCTCTGGGGAAAGCTCTCTAGTGAGGTTTTCTTATTATCAAAAGGCAAGATATAAAYATGCATGCCCTGGTGGGTGGCAGGGGCTTCTGGCCCATCCTGTGTGCTGCAACCTGGGTGAGGGTCCTGCCAAGAAACTCAGCAAAGAAGTGGTGGGCTTGCCCTGAGCACGTGGTTCCTTTGAGTTTTAACCACACAGCTTGTCAGAAGGAAGATTCTCCATCTGAATTTAGCGGACATCTATGTTTAATGTCAACAAATAAAAAACATGTCCAAAAGTTTGAATTTTTTTGGGGGGAGAGGGGGTCACAAAGTAACCTGATTTAACTTTCCCAACAGAATGTGAACCAGAATTGAGAGTGGCCCTGAACTTGTCATCTGAGATCGCAGCAGAGGGTGTTCATGGCCTGTGGGTGCTGTCACTTTCTCTCAGGACATGGGACATCTTCTTCAGATGTGCTATGCYCCTCTGTTAGGACCAGCCTTAGTCTGGGACCCAGGGAGGTTCTGTGATCTGGGCGAGTTTGGGGCCTAAAGCCTGACTGTCACCTCTTTGTCCTTCAGTGGCTGCAGGAGACTGCCAGTTTCGTGGCAAGCATTACAAAACCGAATTCAGGGTGGAAGGGGAGCCTGTGGTTCTGAGGTGCCCCCAGGTGTGGTCTCGGTTTGGGGCCTCCATCAGCCCCCAGGCCCTTCTGACCTGGCGTAAAAACAACTCTGCTCAAATGATCCCAGAAGGGCCACGGATGTGGGCAGAGGACGGCGCTCTCTGGGTTTTACCAGCCTTGAGGGAGGACTCCGGCACCTACGTCTGCACTGTCAGGTAGGCCCCTGTGGGGTGGGCCTGGGCAGTGGGGCTCCAGCAAAAGTGGACCCTTGGCTGTGCTTTAATTAGCTTTTTTTTTTTTTTTTGCTGCTCTGACTAAAAGACCTGACAAGAACCACTGTAGAAGAGAAAAAGGTTATTTGGGGGCTCACGTTTCAGGGGTCTTAGTCCATAGACAGCCTACTCCATTCCTCGGGGCTCAAGGTGAGGCAGGACATCATGGCAGGAGTGTGTGGCAGAGGGAAGCAGCTCACATGATGACGAGGACGCAGAGAGAGACTCCACTCAGCTGGTACAAAATATATGCCCCAAAGGCTTGTCCCCAAGGTCCCTCTCCTCCAGCCACACCCTATCTGCTCGAAGTTACCACCCAGTTAATCCCTAACGGATAAATTTACTGATGAGGTGAAGGCTCTCAGAACCCCACCTTTTCATCTCTAAACCTTCTTGCATCCTCTCACACAAGAGCTTTTGGGGAGCAGTTCATATCTAAACCACAACAGGAGCTTCTTCCATGTTAGTCTGGATTTCAAAATCCAGTGCACAGGTAAGAATCCACATTATGTTCATCTCACTGCTCCTGAAATACCCCTCACCTGGCCATTCTCCTGGCTCCCTCCCTTCTTTCATTGATTTAGACTTTGCTCAGATGTCACTGCTTTGGAAGGGGCCTCCCTAGTCATRTCAGCGGACACAGCACTCTGTCCCCTCTCCTTGCCCTGTGCTATTTCTCTCCATAGCCCTTTCCCCATCTGACACATCTGTGTGAGTTTATGGATTTAACATTTGTCCATCTGTCAGAAGAACATAAGCCCCRGGAGAGTAGGGACTTGGCCTGTTTTTTTCGCTGATGAGTCCACGTGGTAGGGCTGCAAGAAATAAGGTAGAATCCTAAGTGGARTTTTAAAGCTGGATGGGTTCTTAATGAATGAATGAAGCTGACTGCTGTTTGTTTGGACAAGGGAACCAAATTTGCTCAGACAGCTCTTCCAGTGGAATCCGTGAGCCCTGAATGGGCCTCCCTTATTTCTACCTGGTGTTTTTTTTTTTTTTTTTTAAAGTAGAAAATTGTAGTAAAATACACATCGCATAAATTTTGCCCTTGTAACTAATGTCAAGCACACAGTTCAGTCGCATTAAAAATGCTCACTTGGTTGTGCAGCTATGACCACCGTTTGTCTCCAGGATGTTTTCTTATTCTCACACAGAAAAACTGTCCCAATTAAACAACAGCCCCCCATTCCCTCCCCATCCTCAGCCCCTGGAAACCGCCATTCCAACCCTTCCTCTCTAGGAATTTGAAGGCTAGATACTTCACCTGAGTKCGGTGATGCAGGATCTGTTATTCTGCGACTAGCTTATTCACTCAGCCTAGTGACCTTGAGGTTCATCCATGTCACAGCCTGTGCTAGAATTTCCTAAGACTGAGTAATGTCATTCCACATTCTGTTTAGACATTTAKGCATCTGGAGACACTTGGGGTTTTTTTGCTGTATAGGTCTTCTGAATAATGCCAATCTGAACATGAGGTAGGCAAATATCTGTTCAAATCCCTATATTCAATTTTCTTGGTCTATATACCCAAAAGATCATATGGCAGTTCTGTTTAATTTTTTTGAGGAACTGCCATGCTGTTTGTCACAGTGGYGGTGCCATTTTACATTCTTACAAGGGTTCTATTTTTCCGTGTACTTGCCAACACTAGATTTTTTTTTTTTTTAAAGAGAGAGAGAGAGAGAGAATTTTTTTTTAAATATTTATTTTCTAGTTCTCGGCGGACACAACATCTTTGTTGGTATGTGGTGCTGAGGATCGAACCCGGGCCGCACGCATGCCAGGCGAGCGCGCTACCACTTGAGCCATATCCCCAGCCCAACACTAGATATTTAAAACATAATTTTATTTATTTGTTTATTTATCTATTAAAATTGCCACCCTGATGTGTGTGTAAAATGGTGTCTCATTGTGGTTTTTGAATCGTATTTTGCTCATTATTAGCATCTTCTGATGTGTTTCTTGGCCATTTGTGTATCTTCTATGGAGAAGTATCTATGCAAGTTGCCCATTTTTAAAATTGTATTTGTTGTTATTGTTGAGTTGCAGGATTTATTTATATATCTTGATATTAACCACTTATCGGATATATAACTTGCAAACATTTTCTCCCATTCTATGGGTTGATTATTCACTCTAATAGTGTCCTTTGATGCATATACTTTTTTATTTAATTTTTTTAACTTGTTTTAATTAGTTATACATGACAGTAATTCCAGTTTTACCTATTTTTTTTTCTTCAATTGCCTGTGTTTTGGGTGTTAAGAACATCACTGCCAAAKCCAATGTCATGAGGCATTTGCCCTGTTTCTTCTAGGAATTTTGTAGTTTAGCCCTTACATTGGGTTTTTCCTCCATTTTGAATTAATTTTTATGTAAGGTGTGAATGAGGGTCCAGCTTCATTTTTCATGTGTTTATCTGGTCTTTCCAGAACCATTTGTTGAAAAGACKGTSCTTTCCCCACTTGAAGGATAAAGTTCTAGGCCTGCTGGAGGTGACATTAAAAGTTTCCTGCCTTAGTTCTTCTGAAAGGGTAGGGCAGCCCCTTAGCTTGACTGGGAAATAGCATTTCTGGACTTTTCTCTTCATCCCTCCCCAGGGTTCTGTTCACCCCCTTCCACCAACTSGCTTCAGAGTCCTTGAAGATTTCATAAACTCATGTAAGGAGTTATTGTGCCCAGGAATATTGATAGGTAGAATGAAAACCAAAGAAATGGACATTCTTAGAACAGGGAATTACTGGTGAATAGAAGAGCTTCAGACATCAGTCTCAGACCTAGGTAGTGTGTGTATGTGAGAGAAAGAGAGAGAGATGGAGTGTGGAGAGAGAGAGAGAGAGAGAGAGAGAGAGAGAGAGAGAGAGAGAGAGAGAGAGAGAGAGA